TAGGGGTAAATAAACCCTAAGTACACAATGTACTTGCAAGACTTACCCGACTAGTGGAAATAATTTCCTGACTCCAAAGGATATGGTTTGCTGGGTTTCCTTTTTACAAAAAGCAATACTAGTAGTGAATCCTTATGTATGTGTTTTATTAGCAGTCATGATTAGTTCAATAGCTAACCATTCTATGTAAGCACCTGTTCTATTTTTAAGCAGGAGTTGAGCAATCCGATCTATTTCACTATCTTTCATCTTCCAGTTATTACTACGGTGCTAGATTGTAGACAAGTCATACCGTATTACACGACGATTCATGAATCAATGTAGCCCAGCTAGGTACCCCGAAACACATGCCCCGTTTGCACCCTAGGCACAAGCATGACCAACCCACCACTCTCCTATCATGGGGTCTAGGTCCCCGTCCAAACTTAGACTCCAAACCCCCACACCTAAGTCCCGGACTCAGTGTGGTGCTTAGACCTCCACCATTCTCGCCTCCAATCAGTCGGTCCGAAAAGAGCCAAAACCCACAATAAGAGAGCAACGAGCCTTCTCGCTCCCATAAGCAAGTATGTGCTCAGGATAATAAGTCTGTGACCTAACTAGAATCCAATGCAACGGTCGGTCCTTAACCAACACGGACAGGGAAAACAATGTAACCAAGCAATGCCTCGTTGGCCGCAGGATACAACCTCTTAGACCCACCAATACCCGTACCATATTCCTGCCCGGTCTCCATTTCCTTTCACCATTTTATCATGAGAGTAATATTTAATAATCACCTAGTGCGAGTAACGGCAGGTTACTCACGCTACCGAAAAACCTAAGCATAACAGCTACACGGCCTAAGCAAGTAGGACTCATAGGTATGCATATCTATGCATGTAGTTTCAACAATAAGCCTGTAACGTAAATGCACATCACATATATATATATCTAGTGATTATTCAAAATAAGGGTTATCCACCGGGGCTTGTCTTAGGCAGGCGGGGTGTCAGCTCGGTCAGTCAGTGATGGCTTTGGGACCTCCTTCTACATGAGGATATCCTCCTCATACTCCTCGATCACCTCCTCGAACTCGTGATCTCTGATGGTCACGATCTTCGCCAACTCGTTCTCTACATGCATGCGATGATGATGCAACACTTAGCATTTCGGCAATAGCAACTCTTAAAATAAGAATACACATGGTAAACTACTAAGCTAGCTCTATTGACTAAGATACTAAGCTAACTATCATCTCCATCAAGTAAAGTGTTGGGTTCAACTAACAGACACCTAGCATTACAAATGAAGGATATATCTTTATTTCTACTAATAATTTAATATATATTTGAAACAAAGAGCATTTAACTACCCTTATGTTAAGTCTATGCTAAAGCTACAAAAATTACAGGGAGCACATAATAATACCATGAAGCTACTATAAAATTTTCAAAGCTAAAGCTATCACCATTTTGCCATAAAAATTCCTACAATATTTAACCTAATACTATTAAGCACTCTCAAATGATTTAATAGCTCCTGGTATCAATAAGCACATATATGAACTAAATACACTAACAAATAGAGCACAATTTTAGAAACTTAACAAAATTTATTTCATAATTTTTGGATACATACATGATTTTATATTAATTACCAAAGTTTAGCTCAGAATTAAAATGAAAAGTTATTTCTATTCTCCACGAAAAAGCTAAACTGATTTCGGGACCCACGCTGACCTATCTATGAGGCCGACGCTCACCTAGGGTTCGACGCAAAGCGATGGGCGGTGGTGGCACGAACGGGGGTGAAGCAGAGCAGGCTCTCCTCGGCGGCGAGCGACCTGCAACGGCGGCAACCGCGTTTCGGTGAGCCACAACGCTAACAGGACGGTAGAGATAGGAGATAAGCACCAGAGGCACACCGTGAACCCAGCCGAAGTGGTAGTTTGGCCGGTGACTACTGGCGATCTTTGCCACGCGCGCGCGCAGCGAGCACTGGCGATGAGTGTGGTGGACACGATCGTGTCAGCCGGCGTGAGGAGGCGATAAGCGCTCCATGGCGTGGCGGCGTTGCGCATGGTGGAGAGGGAGCCAAGGCGAGCTAGTGGTGTAGAGAAATTAGCGTGGGGTGAAGTGGTGGAGGTTGGCCACGACGTGGGCGGTGACGGGCCTTAACGGCACGGCAGCGGGCAAAGCTCCAAAATTGGAGCTCAGCGTGACGCGATTTAAGGCGGGGTAGGGTCGGCTGGAGAGGGGACATGAAGGTGGAGACACAAGCACGAGGAATTGATGAGAGGTGCTCGCTCTCTGGCTTCATCGTGACACGACGCAACGGCGGCGGAAAACAGAGGGAGAAAGAAAGATAAGGGAGAGACGACGCGGTAGGTGGGCTCAGTTCGTCCACGCCTTGGCGGGACATGAGCGGCGAGAATGGGAGGCCCACGTGCCGGTGCTACGAACAGCGTGTGCACGTGTCTGACCGATGTGGCCCACGCACCGCAGTGCCATAAATGGCATGACGACGACAGCTTGCCCACGTGCGCGCGGCAGAGGCGACACGCACAGGGCCAGCAACAGCGCAGAGGTGCAGCGGACTGACGCAGACGTGACGACGGTGCGATAGCAGCGGTAGTGTCGTGACGCGAGGAGCGTTGACAGTGCGGACGCGATGGCAGCACCCAAGACGGCAGCGCGAGGTAGCGCAGCAGCCAGCAGGGCGCGGGGCCAGTGGCTCGCTACGGCCGGCCTCGGCCAAGCCCAGGCGGCTCGACCGGCCAAGCGCGGTAGCACAGTTGACCGCGCGGGATGTGGCCATGTGCGCGGCGTGGGGAGGCCAGCGGTGGCCACGCACCCGGCGCCAACCAAACCGAGACAGTGACACATAAATTTTAAAGCATTCAACACGACCAAACGGTTGCTTTAGGACCTAAACTATCTTCACCATGCTTAAGATGGCACATGAGACTACCAAATCAAGCTATAACACTACACCACTTCTTAACCTAATTTCTCACAACAAATTGCTAAACATAGCAGTGTCTAACCGTTGGCAGACTTGAAAATTTCTAAGTTTTTAAGCTAAATTTGATTTCCATTTGTGATTTTCTAAGCTTGTGGAAATATTAGATAGTAATATCATTTTTTGACCATAAGTATTTCACTGTCATCTACAAAGTTTGTACTTCAAACTTTATTTAAGTATCACATACTTGTTCTATAGTATTTTTGCTTAATAAAAAATGATTTTAAACCCTAAGTGATATAACATGACTATCGAATCAACTTTCGTTTCAGTATTTTAGTTGATCGTTTTGAGTTACAAAAATTGATCTACACACTTTATCACATGTATTAACACAAACATGATGCTCATGACATGTTTTAGTAAATGATTTATAGTGTAACACCGGCGCGCCAACTGTCGGTGTTTTCGGACCACCGACGACTAAATTTGTATTTATGCATCTGGCTCAGATGGTGTGCTCGAAGAACACAAGGGTTTATACTGGTTCGGGCGGAACGTCCCTACGTTCAGTTTGCTGCTGCTCGTGTTACCGGCACTTGGTTTGTAGTAGGGTTTACAAACAGGCGAGAGAGGGAAAGGATCCCAAGTCTCTGGTGAAAAGGAGTGAACGGGTGCTGAGAGCTCGATCGCTGCTCAACCATGTGCTCGTGTGGTACTCTTATGTTTTTATCTTGTGATTTGGTCTCGTGCGGCCCTAGATCCCCCTCTCATGGGGCACCCGGCTTCCTCTTTTATAGGTGAAGGAAAAACGCGGGTTACAGCAGAGAAAAAGAAGAAGAACGAGAAAGAGAAGAATGCTTCCAGGATCGCAGGGTCCTTTTTCTCCTTCATGCGGGTCCCGCCGATCCTGTAGAGGTCAACAGGGATGGCTCCACGTCGTGGCCCTATTCGTCACTGGCGCTATGCGCAGGCATCATCTGTCGGTCATGGCGTTTCATTCCGTCCCAGCGGACGTCGTGGTAAATTAACGTGCCTGTCAGTGTTCGTACGAGGGTTAGGTACAACAGCACCGGCACGCGCCAACGCTGTTCTTGATATGAACCCTCAGGTATGGCCGGTCATGACCATGAGTTATATCAAGGCGTGCCAATCTCTTTCTTGGTGTCAGAGTTTTGACCCAAGCCCATACGTTTGAACCTGGAATGGTTGGCGGCGGTATGGGTCCCCATCGGATGAGACGGAACCCGTTGCCTTAGGGTCGGGCGAGACGGAGCATGAACCTAAGAGGTCAGGCGAGACAGAGCCCGCGGCCTTGCGGTCGGGCGAGACGGAGCTCTTACCCGAGGGGTTGGCGCGAGACAGAGCCCGTGGCCTTAGGGTCGGGTGAGATGGAACTCTCACCCGAGGGTCGGGCGAGACAAAGCCCGTGGCCTTGGGGTCGAGCGAGATGGAACCCGTGGCCTTGGGCGAGACCCGTGGCCTCGAGGTCGGGCGAGACGAAAACCGCGATCCTTGAGTCAGGCGAGACGGAGCCTGTACCAAAGGGGTCGAACGAGACAGAGCACGAACCTAAGGGATCAGGCGAGACATTTTAATACATCTTACTCCATCCAAGGAAGTCAACATGCTTTAGGGTATCCTAATATCGATACCCGATAGTAGCGCTACAAGTAAAGAATTATATACCTATTTTTTAATTTCTTTAACAATATGACTAAAAGAGAATTTTTTTGCAAATAAATCTTCAGAAAAGATACTCATGATCGGGTTATTTCTTTACTGTATAACCCAAAATAGGTCTCAGCAAGCGCTACAGCCTACAGGGCTTTCGTTCGCCCGCCGCCGCCGGTCCTCCCCTCCTCCTGTCAGAATCACCCGCGCCCGCGCTCTTAGATTTCTGGCGCGAAACATACATAGATCAGGTGGCGGGGAGACAGATTATGTGAATATAGATTTACAAAAACAATTAAAAAAAATCGAAGGAAACGAGAAGGTCGTCCTGCCTCTTGCTTCCTCCCGTGGCGGCGGCGACTGCTGGGGGCTCGGCCGCCATGTCGATCTGCGGGTACCACTCCCCGCGCTTCTCCGAGGTAAACGCCCTCTCTCCCTCCCTCCCTCCCTCCCTGGTCCCTTCTTCCCTTCTCTCTCGCTCGGTCGAACGGTTGAGTGTTTGTAGTTTTTTCCTCTCGAGCAAGATGGGAACCGAGGGTGCTTCCGTTTCTAAAAACTTTCCCGTACTGAGTTTCTTTTCCCCAGGATATTGCTTGGCTCCCCCAATGGCTTCAACCGTATGGCACGCCGACGGTTGGCGACCACCGGAATACCACTACCGCCGCTTCGTCGCCTTCTTGTCAGGTGCTCTTCTTATTTCCGGCACTAATTGGCTCGGAATCTGTTGACTCTGAGCTATTATTTTGATTACCGAAGATCTTAATCAATGCCAGAGGTGTTTCATTTGATTGGAAATAACATACTGAAATCCATTCTGAATACCACTGCCATTTGTAATCTGATGCCTTGGTCTCTTCCTCCACTTGCAGAATTGTGCGTTTGTCGGACGCCCTTCGCAGGATCGTCAGGATTGTCAGAATGCCACTGGTGGTTATAGCGGCTTCATCTTGCACTTGTCAGGAGATGAGGACACGGTTGCAAGTTCACCAGTCAGCAGCAATGTAAGAATATGTATGCCATTGTTCTTTACTTTGATCAAATTCAGCCTTGGTACTGCTGCCGGAATATTACAGTATTACACGTAGCCTTCAATCCTAATCCCATATAAATAACACCCTTTTCTTCTGAGATAATACAGTGGTTTGTTACTAAGTGCACACTTTGACAGTCTGCTTATATATCTTTTGCCGGTTATCATATTGTGAAGGAAGGGCTAGGATTTTTTTTTGGTGTCCTCCATTTTCATCTCTACTGCTGATATTTTGAAAGAAATCTCTACTACTGATATTAATCCCTTCATTTCAAAATGTGCATTAACGTTTCTTTAGCTTGATGCCTATTATTATTTTCATGATGTTGACTTATATGTTTTGATCTCATACTGACTGACTGTTGTTCACCTTTGTGGATTGCATACTGAGTTCTGAAGTTATTTCATAGTAGCAGATTTGGGTTGTTGTAGTTGAATTATGCTGACTCTTTCTTTCTACAGCACAAGCAGATCTTGTGTTGCATTGTTATAACGTCTTAGTTTTTCCGCTCTACAGGTACTACCTTTCTCTTTGCGTCTGTCTTCAGAAAGTGCTGCACAACCCTCCCTTGCTGAAGGCAATGGTAATCCTCAGATGCCAAACTCTGGTACATGCACAGGTCCATCCGAGGGCCTTTGTGCAGATGGTCAAGAACAAGAGGTCAATGCTGTCTGCCAGAATCAGTTTGAGGCTAACAATCCTCAATCTGATATGCTGACAGTGACAGAAGTGGCTTGCAAGGAGATCAGTAAACAACTTGATACAAACAGACATAAAAGACATGATGTCTATGGTGGAAAGGTTGATGTTCGAAAACTCTGTAATGCTGATGTAAATGATGCGATTGAACTATCAATTGCTGCATCTGAGGCCATGGTTATTGCAGAGATGATACTTGATTCTCAGTCTGATAAATCGGCTGCAGCTGCTATAGAAGCTGCTCTACATGTGAAAGAAGCCCGGAAACAATTTTACTTTGAGGAGCCAGAACATGCTTGTGGATCCTCAGAAGATGGTCTTGATGAGACTGGTTGGCTTGCAGAATTGGATGAGTCTGAAATGGTTGATGTATACCAAGATGTTGGTCTGTCTCTTGTCCATATTGCTTGTTCATCTCAAGATCATAACACAGGCGATTTCAAGCAACAAAATTCTCATCCTAGTTGTCCCCCATGTGATGCAGACACACACATCTTATTGGATTCTTCTTCTGAGAGGCAAAATAAAAAATGGAATAGCCAAAATGCTGATAGTGATGACCATGTATCTGATTCGTTCCCAAATAATCAGTCAGCGGGTGTGCTACCAAATGGACCAACTCCGTGCTCTGATTCTGGAAAGCAAGCAGATCTATGTAAAACAGTTTCATGCTCAAGAAATAAGAAAACTGCCCTCCAGGCATCAACTCTAAACAATGCTGCTTTGCATGGAACCTTGGGAGCTCTAGCAGCATACCAAAATATTCATAAGGTAACTTTGTGCCAATCATTTCTTTTTTTGGTATCGTGTGATATGAATGCAAAGTATCATAATAAACTTTATCAACTCATGAACCTTTCCCATCTGCATTCTTCGTATTCTCATTACTACATACATTTCTTTCCAGGAAGTTGCAGGAGGTGCAAACAGAGTGAAGGCCAAAATATTCATAAGGTAACTTTGTGCCAATCATTTCTTTTTTGGTATTCTCATTACTACATACATTTCTTTCCAGGAATGTTGGTATAAAGAAGCATGTAAAAGGTTTGTTTGAGGAAGAAAATAGCTACATTTCTGAGTCAATTAGCATGGATAAGTGCTGTCCTACTTCTAGAGCATCATCCATGGAAATTGTCGCCTCTTCAAGGGCATCTGTTTATTACAAAGCTGAAGGTTTCCTTGAAGAAAATCATCGTGCAGAAACTGAAGAGTTGTGTTGCCAAATAGTATGTTCGAGCTTGTCACAGGTGGATCCTTTATGTTCCGCTGTTCCGTGTAGCATATCTTGCGATGAAGGTCCGAGTAGCCAGGCTCCTGTGTGCAAACAGAGTGAAGGCCATGAAGGTCCGAGTAGCCAGGCTTTTTTGTGCAAAAAGAGTGAATGCAATGAAGGTCCCACATGTCTGACACCTGAACACGGACATAGTAAAGGAGAGGAGAAAGAATTTATGCATACCAAAGAATTTCCTATGATGCAATACCTGGATGGTGATGCTGGTCCATCTTGTGTGCCTTTAGTTAAGCCAGCAGATTTTAATATTTCATTCAGGCGAAGAAAATACAGTTCACTAAGGCCTTTTAGCACAATAGCAACTAAGTCAAACGTATTGGGAAGTACTTCAAATTGTAATGCTGATGTTTCAGTTTGTCAGCTAGAGAGATTCACACCCATTATTCTAAATAAGAATGTACAGCGTGTGCAAGCTGCTAAGGAATTCATAGAAAATAGTGCTGGAGCTGAAAATTTGCAAGATTTCTCTGCAGTTCAGAAGCAGACATATTATCCTCAGGATGACAGTGAGGATCAAATCAAGGAGCTACAGGTTCCACAGGATGTGTTTCTATCAACAGAGAATTTGGTTGGTAAACAGCACCTTAAAAGAAAAAGGGTCCAATTTTCAGAAGCAAAGCGTAGTAGCAGAAGAACCAAGAGCAATAGAAGGATCCTGACTAAATCAAGATTCAGTCGTAAGTTTTTCTTTTTAATATTTCAGTCTTTTGAGGTATATACTTTGATATATCCACAAAAACATTAGTTTCTTCTGGTAATCCTCACTTGTGAATTCTTGCAGTATCAGATAGCAGAACAGGAGAGACGCTTGAGGCCAGAGAGTACACTGATAATAAAGAAGCCACATTTCAAGGAGTAGAGTTTCTGTTGACTGGCTTTCCTAATCAGAAGGAAAAAGAAATTGAGTCCCTAATACGAAAATCTGGTGGCTATGTACTTTCTAAAGTGCCACCCTTCCCACTTGATAAAAGAAAGAACATGGCTGAGTTTCCAAGCTGGAAGCCTCCCATAGTACTTTCCCCTAAAAAGGTTTGCTATTTTATTTCCTTCCAGTGTTTGGTCAATCCATTCGTTATCTTGTGTCTTTCATAATTACATGTTGTAGGAATCATGAGCCCCAGTTGAAAATTGTCAACTTATATTTGTACTGTATTGTATTAATGATTCCAGATTTTTGTTGCATCAGGTGTCAACAGCTAAGTTCTTATATGGCTGTGCTATCGATGCCTGGATATTGAATCCCAATTGGCTCTTCGATTCTCTTCAAGCCGGTGTCATGCTGCCACCTGGAAAGTAAGGCAAGCTCCTAGCATCACTGCATGTCTTTGGAAGCTTCTGTGTACACATTGCAAAAATGCCTACCCTTTGGAAAATAATCTTTTGATATTCTTCTGCATATTTATTCATGAACATTAATTGTTCCATACCTTTCTTGGAGTAATCAAGGCAAAATTACCATTTATACTATGGTTATGGCCTTTCATAAGATTTGTCATTCTAGTTCTGTGCAGTACCTCAAACTCAGGCTTACATGCTTCCTTTTCTTTTCTTTTAATTTCAAGCTAAGCTATTCCAAGTGAAAGACATTTATATGTTTAATGAGCTTGACCATTCTAACTGCATGTGACTATGTCAACCATCATAGGCTACCTTAACAGTTATGTTGTGAATGGTTTCCTAACAGCGGCACAGTTTAACACTAGTTTAATTTTCGCTGTAAATATAGAAAGCTTACACCATATTTTAAGTCTAGATGCTTTTAGGTCAGTATACTGAAAGCTGCTCATTTTCTTCTTAAACACGGCAATGACACTAGGTTGTTGTGTTGATATTATTTTGAGAATCTGATATGTTGGCATGAAAATTTTACTATGCTGCCCATGTTTATAAAGTAAGAATGTTCATCCTTGATGCTCATCATTATTTTGTTATATCCTTTTGCTAGGTATTTAATTCGACAAAGGAATGCCTGGAAGCATAATTCGTCATTTGACCGCCCACTTCACCCAAAATGTAATACATTGATATTTGATGGAGTAGGATTCTTGATCCACGGCAAAATCAGCTTCTGTTCAAAATTTTCCAACATTGTCAAGGTATGTTGCATGCATAATAAAAAAACTGAAAATTATATGTTTCTTTCTTGAACGCGTATGGGAGCTGTGTGCTATTATATTGATTAAAGATTAAAGAAGAGAAATGCAAACGAATTACTGCATACACCCACACCTGCACATGTGGAAATGCCCCTTCAAATAGGCACCTATTACAGTGTTTAAAGCCACCATGCAACGAATTGCTGCTACGTTGCCAGCGAATTGAAACCCTACTAGAGCTGCCTGGTCACCCTTTGCTACATCCTGTTGTGGTGTACTGGTGTGAGCTGCTGTAGATCAATTAGTGATTATGGAAGGCCTGGCAGTCAAACAATATCCCCATAGGTTATTGTGTGAGATGTGATACACCATCTTATTAGACTCTTGTTATATTTCACTTCTATTTTTTGGGGAATTTTACTTGGATTAGTGGAACCTAATTCTGTTCCAGTGGAACATTCAGGTGGTATAGCTTGAAGCCTGTTCCCTTATGTACCATTTCTTTTACACAGCATGGAGGTGGCCAGTTTGTTCCCTTGTCTAATATCATTTTTTTCCACAGCATGGAGGTGGCCAAGTTTTTATATCTCTTCATGGATTAGTTCAAAGCTTGAAGGATGGAAGTACATCGCATGGAATCATTCTTGTTGCAAGCGCAGCTAGTGCGTCTTGTCATCTAAGCTATTGCGGTTTGGAGCATGACATAAAGACAGCGGTTAGTTCATTAACACAGTATATCTGTTAGAATTGAACATAGAACAACTGTCGCTTGAATGTGTAAACTTAATTTTTCTGTGACTTATCACAAACATCTTAATCTGTTAGTCATTTGCATTGTTCTTCTTGGCCTTTTATGAAGAAAAATTCAGCGGTCATAATCTGAAAGGTCTTGATCTACTACTGCCCAGAAAAATGAAACAAATGCTCTACACCCTACAAAGCAGAAGAAAATTAATTTTACCTTAATGTTTTAATACACAATTTAGCCTCTTCGTTGAATATAATCCTCATTTTTCTTTGCAGACAGCAAGCTGGATCATAGGTAGTTTATTTTCTGGTAAACTGATTCCATTGAAGAAAGATCGCTGTGCTTCATTTCACCGAATCAAGATGCCATCGTTCCAACAAAAGCAACATGTATTTGACATGAGTCAAGAGATATGATCTCTGCTACATTGCATAGCTATAATACCATGGGAATCTCAAATAGTTCTCACTGAAACATGGCTGCTGCGCATCACAGCTGCGCATTCACTCAGATGAACCTCTTTTGACAGAAGAGTTTGCCACAGCACATTTTTGTCACTCAGAAATTCCTCTGTTCAGCACCAAGGCTAATTCGTATTCTTTTGTCACTTCACAATTGAAAGGGAAGCTAGGAACTAGAGCATTCTTCAATCATGGATTTACGATAGTGCGTCCTACTACCAGGCTATAGCTGAGAAAGGGTTAGTTACTGCTCGAGGTGAGCAAAATATTCATCTTCCACCTACATCATCCATTGTTATTCTGGAGACGCCTGTTTGATTGGTGACCAAAACCTGCCACGCCAAAAGTTCGTCGTGCCACAGTTTCTTCGGCAGCTGTTTGGTTCACTGCCACACCTATGGCACGCCACACTTTCTTATCACCCTGCCCCACATGTCATAGACTCATTTTCGTGCCAAACCTTGCCACAAGTGTGGCTTTGATTTTGGTAGCCACACTTTCTTTGGCAGCCATAGTTTGCCGAAGGTTAGGCGTGGCAAGTTTTGGTCACCAACCAAACAGGCCCGGTTTCTCAACAGCATGATACTTACCGGAAGATTTCCACACCTTAATAATGGCATCAGATCAGAATTGTGCAGTCCAGAATCAACTGTAAGCAGTTTCTTATATGTTGTAAATTGTAACCTGTAAATCATAAATAGAAATACCAGAGATAACCCCCCTCCTCCCCACCCAGTTTGTAATCACTAACCAGTGATGAGCTGCCTATTAGGTGTTGTATGGCACAAAAAACACACAATGGAAAAAGGATTGATGAGTGTTTCCTCTTAATTGTACTGTCAACTGACTCAATCTATGTGTCAATTGTAAGATGGTTTAAGGATTTCGTTAAAAAAAGATGGTTTTAGAATTCATCTGTTAAAACAACTTTGTGGAGTTAGTAAGGTCAGTGGTTGGATTGCTGTTTTGCGACCAAGTTGCTTTTGGTTGCCTCCTAAGTGAGAATGAGAAGTTGTGTTTAGTTTTAGTGGGTATGTCTTGGTACCGGAGTTTAGGGGCTGATTGGTTGGCTACATCCAGCCTAACCAGGCTCGCCAGATACAATGCAGGCTTGATTGGTTAGCTGAATTAGCAGTAAGGCTTGGCCCCTGACATGCACAAGGCGTCCCTCAGCCTGGCTCGCCAGGTACATAAATTTTCTTCGTTTCCTCAAAACCTGGCTCACCGCTCGCGCGGTCGTGTGTGGGCGCATGGGAGGAAAACATTCACTTGCTACAAGCTCCGTGCGGGTAATCAAACAGCGTCGACATGCATGCAGACAAGCTAGTCGAAGGCAAGCAACCAAACAATATGTGTTGGTATTCTTTGACCCTGTCCAGCACGAGCCAGTATGAGCCAGACCGAGAGGAGACAGAAACAAATCTCGCCCTTAGTGGTTGTACCCTAGTCGATCGTGTGGTTTTCTTGGCCTAGTTTCTGCAGAAAAAACTGAGCTAAGACTTGTGTTTTTTTTTCTTTGTCCTTCTAATAAAACTTGTAGCAAAGCTCTTGTTGTTCTTTCGAAGGAAAAAAAAAATGCTCTACACTCTACAAAGCAGAGGAACATTAATTTTACCTTAATGTTTTAATACACAATTTAGCCTCTTCGGTAAATATAATCCTCATTTTTCCTTGCAGACAGCAAGCTGGATCATTGGTAGTTTATTTTCTGGTAAACTGAATCCATTGAAGAAAGATCGCTGTGCTTCATTTCGCTGAATCAAGATGCCATGCTTCCAACAAAAGCAACATGTATTTGACATGAGTCAAGAGATATGATCTCTGCTACATCGCATAGCTATAATACCCTGGGAATCTCACATAGTTCTCACTGAAACATGGCTGCTGCACATCACAGCTGTGCATTCACTCTGATGAACCTTTTTTTGACAGAGGAGTTTGCCACAGCACATTTTTGTCACTTAGAAATTCCTCTGTTCAGCACCATGGCTAATTAGTATTCTTTTGTCACTTCACAATTGAAGGGGAAGCTAGGAACTAGAGCATTCTTCTATCATGGATTTACTACCAGGCTATAGCTGAGAAAGGGTTAGTTACTGCTCGAGGTGAGCAAAGTATTCATTTTCCAGCTACATTATCCATTATTGTCATTCTGGAGACTTGGTTTCTCAACAGCATGATACTTACCGGAGGATTTCCACACCTTAATAATGGCGTCAGATCGAAGGCAAGCAACCAAACAATATGTGTTGGTATTCTTTGATCCTGTCCAACATGAGCCAGTATGAGCTAGGTCGTGAGGAGACAGAAACCAATCACGCCCTTAGTGGTTGTACCCTAGTCGATCGCGTGGTTTTCTTGGCCTGGTTTCTGTGGAAAAAACTGAGCTAGGACTTGTTTTTTTCTTTATCTATCCTTCTAATAAAACTTGTGACAAAGCTTTTGTAGTTCTTTCGAAGAAGAAAAAACTCCGTGGAAGCTCATATATGCATTTGATGGTATAAATGCACCGTTGTTCTTTGAATTGTACTTCCTTCACTGCCATGGTGCCCTTGGCTTGGGGATCTGCCCTTCTTCAAAGAGCATCGAGCATTTCTTCTTCACCTTCTCTCATGTTTGAGCTTAGGGCCTGTTTGGTAATCCTCTGAAGAAGTTAACCTTGACTCCTTCAACTTCATTGCTTCAGCCGTTTTCTACACAATCATTCGATACGGCTCCTGCAGAAGGGAGCCCCTCCTGGAGCCATACCAAATATGCCCTGAGGGAGCCCTTTTGGAGCTATACCAGATAGCCCATTTAGCTGGTAATGTAGGTCTTCTTATCCCCTGCACATTTTTCTCAAAACTTGGCACGCCATGCTTGTGGCACCTTTGTAACTAGGGACTTGCTAGCGCACGGACGTCCGATCCGTAGTGTCCAGACACTGGCCGTGCAGTGAGGGAGAGAGCGCCTAGCGCGTTGGGCTCGCCTCGAGCGCACCAGGAGTGGGCCCTGCATCGCCACGGACATTGCCCATGCCGCCCTGAACGTCGTTCATGCCACCAGTAGCTTCCCACACACATCCCATATGCAACACCCGATCTACTTTTGAAACATCCAAATGCATGAGTTGCAACATAAAAAAAGATAGATGAAACACTTGAAACAAGCGTCTGAAACACTCGCGAAAACGCCTGAAAAACATTTGAAAACCATTGCAAACATATACAACATCAATATGAAACGCTTGCAAACATATGTATGAAACACTTGAAAATACTTGAAACATATGCTTGCAACATGCATGTATATGCAACATCTAGATCTACTTTTGCAACATCCGGATAAAAACACTTGCAACATACGTTTGGACTAGATGAAACATTTGAAACATACACTTGAAACATACGTGTATAGCCATTCCAACATGTGCAACATCCCGATCTACTTTTGCAACATCGATATACAACACTTGCAACATACCTCTGAAACATCTGAAACACTTAAAAAATACTCTTGCAACATGCGGTTTTCACCTTTCTTTGTTTCGTACGATGCAACACAGAGGGGGAACGGTCGATTCTGGCAAGCCGGCGGCCGAGGATGATAGCGCGGCTTGGCAGCGGCCAGCTGCGCCTCCGCCTGGCCTAGGCCCGGCTAGCGACGACCCCCTCTGCTGGCTGTCTGGCCACACACGGCTGTCGGAAGGAGCCGCCGATCTCGGTGAGGTCGGAGAGGATGCCTGCGAGGAGCGACGGGGACGGGGACGGGGTGCGGGGACGTGGAGCAGCGCGTGAGCACGCGTGCTCTCGTACGAGCAGGGAGCGTTTCTGTCTGGAGGAAGGAGAAGAGGAGCTAACGTTCAGACCCGTGTGTAAGAGAGAGGGAGGGAATACGTGGGGTGGTCGGTTGGGCTGCTGCCTATTCTGCCTAAGTAGAGGGATCGAGCGATGTAACTACCCTGACTTTGGGATCTCCACCGTTGCCGTCTAAAAGAAAAGAGAGTTTCAACTTTGAATTCTTGTGTAGTAGTTCTTCAAACGGGCTTGATTATAAATTATGCTTGTATTTGTTGAAAAATAAATTGTACATTACTGTCGTCATGAGAGCATAGCAATTTTTTTTTATGAAAATAGCAAAAAAAAAATTAGGAACAGCACAATTACAAAACGGGCCTCGTTTCTTTTCATTTTTCCTTTTTTTTGAAAAACATCTGCACCAATTTGAATATTTGATTTGATGCGCGTAGTGGCCGAGACGTGGCCATGTGGCCCCATTCGCGCGGATATATGCCCACCCATAGGGCCCACATGCATCGGTTGCTCGAGGGTTGCCGGGAGAGATCAACCAAGAAATTAAACCGTTCGTGAAGGCCTCAACTCCTCTCGTCGTCTCGTAGGCGATCGTCTCCTGCGGCGGCGGCGATCGACGTCGGCGACGGTCCACGGTCTTCTTCAGAGAAAAATAGCAAGGCCGGTCAGGCGACGCCATCTCGAATCATGGTAATCCACCGCCCTCAATCCCACATTAATTCCCATTTGAAATGCATGCCTCGCTCGCTCCCATCTTCGTCTTCGATGTCACTGAGGGCGAATCATTTAGATCTATATACTACCTCAGAAGGTGCCGTTAATTGCTCTCTAATCTTTCCCCGAAACGTCGCTCTAGATCTGCAACCGCTTGCTGCTGAATCTGTTGTTTTCGAGAACGTATTCCAGAGCAAATTCAGAGGGAGCATCAGTCGTTTGCGGCGTTCGGGGGGTGGGCCGAGTGACGCACGGGGACGGGGAGGTCTGCCGCGGCGCGACCTCGCCGGCCCGGAATATTCGCAAAACACCCACTGCCTTGGATCGCGAACAATAATCATGCGTAAACCACCGAATCGGCGATTAATAACCGCGATCCGAATATCTTGCAAAAAACGCCCCCGGCGGCCTCCTCCTCCAGCTCATCGCCGTGGTCGTGCCACCATTCTCCGGGATCGCGAACTGGAGAGAGACTAGGAACTGGCCCGTATGTCAGGGAATGAAATCACAAGGTTTTCCCGAACATGATCAGTGCTGAAGAACCTGGGAAATTGAGCTCATCATGAGCTCCAAAGCCAGATTTCGAGAGTATCTGTCAGCTTATTTTCCTTGTTTTTTTCTGCACGTTTCAGGCTGAAGAGAAGAATTTCATTTTCATGTAGCAACATGACATTTTTGTTTGTTGCTTTGGTGTCAGATACATTTTGTGCTCCTCGTCAGCAGGCAGGGGAAGGTGAGGCTGACGAAATGGTACACTCCATACCCACAGAAGCAGAGATCCAAGGTATACACCGGCAGGTTTTCCACTGCAGTTTTACCATTGTTTTCGCTGGGGCCTACAGTTAATTTGCATGCAATTGCCTCCCATGGTTTGTCAATTGCTTTTCATTCACAAGATCATCAAAGAGATAAGTACGCTCGTCCTGACAAGAGGCCCCAAGCTGTGCAATTTTGTTGACTGGCAAGGTTACAGAGTTGTGTACAAGAGGTGAGGCGTTGTAATGCCTGATGAAATGATCTGTATGCAATTTTTTATTCCTGATTTTTACTAGTAACCAGTAAAAGGCGAAGCGCTTGCAAATTAGTAATCATCTGGAACGTAACACTGATTATATTATACTCTGATGGCACATAATCTGTTGCTACAAATAGTGCACCATCCTGCAGGTATGCTAGCCTTTACTTCTGTATGTGCATTGACCCTGCTGACAATGAACTGGAAACCCTTCAGATCATACATCACTATGTTGAGATATTGGACCGGTACTTTGGCAATGTGAGACCTCCAAAATCCTTTCCTTATACTCCCCCAGCTCTAAGACCCATTTTCCTGATGGATGCTGTCTTTGCCATACTGCATGCAGGTCTGTGAGCTTGATCTGATATTCAATTTTCATAAGGTGCGAAAACTTTGATATATATGTTTATTATTAGGCGTGTCTGTTTCTGCCGACCATATATTTGCTACAATACCAAAGCACTTCGACCTCCCCTCACTCTTTTTTATCCTTTTCTGGATTTGCAGGCATACTTTATATTGGACGAGATTTTGATTGCTGGTGAACTTCAGGAATCAAACAAGAAATCGGTGCTACGTCTAGTAACTACACAGGTAGCTTATCTATTGAATTCAGAAGCGATCTGAGTAGTATAAAACTATGAGCATTTCTAACTGCACATGAGTGCTCTGCCTTTCCTTTGTTGACATAACCATGTGGATGCACAAGAGACAAACTTTTAATAAAAAGGCGAACTGTATTATAGTCGTCCTTAATATACCTGTTGGACTGCGCCAATTTCTAGCTTGTCAGTACAATGGAAAGGATAAGCTGCCAGCATGCATGTTCATGTGCTCATGTGAAATGCACTACTGGGTGCTGCTAAGGATTCGGGGTGATGGTCTATCATGGCATGGTGGAATAACCGTGTGTGGTTTTTGCAGGACGCTTTGGTGGAAGCCGCAAAGGAGAAGGCAGGCTCATTGAGGAACATAATTGCACAGGCTACCAAGTAGAGCCCTTGTGTCTTCTACAATCATTACTCACACCCCCACGGCATGATAGTAACTTAATCACTACCATACGGCAGCAGCTTTCACCCTTAATTTTCCTTTACTGTTCCATCTCTGTATTTTGTTCAGAGATCTGTTCTGTTCTGTCCTTTTCTCTCTTTTATTGTTTCTGTTTTCGCACTGTACCACCAGTTTGCTGCTCTTTTGCACAACGTTGTATATGGAATAAACCAATGCAATGTTTTGATTCCTAAATCTATGGTCCCGGTTCCATTAGTTTGCCCAACTCTATGGCCATTCAGATCTTTCTCAGCCTCCAGGAAAATATATCTTCTTTTGCAGATTTTTTTTCTTTATAACATTTGCAGGCTTGGCTTGTTCTGTGGAAATATATAAAAAATGAAAAAAAGGGAGAACACATGCCATCAGCATGAGCCTTGTTTACATCATGCAATAGTTACCCATCAAAAGGCATGTGATGTCCCCAAAAGTGTTTGATTAATAGGGGCTGCATGGATGGTGAACACTCAACCACGCCGCTGTCAACTATTCAACTCCCTCTCAGTCACATTTCCCTAAATTAGTAAATCTACTAATCTGTCTATCATCACTACAACAGTTTCTCAATAATGTCCCATACGACTATATTTCTTTTTACTGCATCTTTTTTGCCTTGCTCCGTTATGCCAAAATTAGGTGAAGTGCAACCCAAGGCACACGCTCGCAGAGGAGAGACAGTGAATGAATCCCCAAAGTTGCAACGGGAGTCAACAGGAAAGCAATCTCGATCCGTCCAGCACCGCCACCACCGCATCTCCGCCGACGGCGACCCGGCACCAGGTCGGCACCACCATCCCGGCCGTCCGCCGCTCCCACGGACGGCTGCGACGAGCTGAGGAGGTCGCTGAAGTGCCGTCTTGGCTGCATGCATCCCTGGCACGCAGGACTCGTCGTCTCCCTCCCTCTCTGTCTCTCCACTCCCGCGTGACGGGTCAACACGTCCGCGCGCGGGCCACCGCTCGCCGACTTATAAGGAGTTTGAATGGACGAAAAATATTTTTTCTCTCAAACAAATTAATTAATATTATTTTTAATTATAATTTATTAGTCAAACGAATAGAGTAAAATGAACAATGACTTATCAATCAAACGAATATAGAGCAAAATGCCAGAGGAGGTGCCCTTTCTCTCTCTCTGCAACACTCGCTCTCTCTACCTGTCTCTCTGGATGGATGGATGGAGCACTCACTTTCTCTCTCTTCACCTTTGCTTGTTTTTATTTATTATTCCTTCTCCCCCGGCCATCCAATCATCCATACATCCCATCTCTCTCTCCCCATCCATCAAATCCGCTTCGGCTCTCTCTCTCTCTTGCAGTCCAACCAAGTCCTAGGAATAACACAGCGCAACAACTCGCACCACCACCACCACTACCGCCGCGCAGTAGCAGTAGCGACCAGCTGCTCAGCTCATCAGTGCTTCGCCGGGCGGGTGGCCGGGTCAGTAGCGCGTGCACCTCTTCTGCCACTCACTCGAGGGGAGCTACCAGCTTCTTGTCACGCGCGAAGGCGACAAGGGGATCGACCAGCTACCTCTCACACATGTTCCCGCCCGAGGTGTCGGTGCTCGCGGCGGCGGGCGGCGCCGGCGCGGGGCGTCAGGCTGCAGGCGAGGCCGCCGGTGGCGGCGTCCTCCAGATGCTGCCGCCCTTCTTCATGGACTCCATCTGGCCCGCTGGCTCCGAGGACGACGAGGCCGCGGCGGCGGTGGCGGCCGCCGCCGCCGACGACCGCGCGCTCGCCGCGTCGCGCAACCACCGCGAGGCCGAGAAGCGCCGGCGCGAGCGCATCAAGTCGCACCTCGACCGCCTCCGCAACGTCCTCGCCTGCGACCCCAAGGCATATAGCTCCTCCAATCTGCCAGTTGCTTATTAACCTGAAATTGAAAAAAAAATCCGGCCTTTATTATATATTTTTAATTTCTGCATGAGATATCTCTCTCTCATGATCGACTTCTCTTCAGAATCGATCGAATTGGCATCTAGCTTGCAGTAGCTACTACAGGCTAGTCGCAGCCAGTACACGTACATGAGCAGCTAATGGTGTGATTAAAGCTGATGGGTTTGGGAAAGTAGAATGGAGGCTTTCCTATTCCTATTCCTATCACACGAGGACGAGGCTAGCTCTAGGCTAGGGCTCTCCTCTCTTTTGCTTGACAGTTCCTCTCATGATTTTGATTGGAGCATGCGTCTACTTGTTTTCATTTTATTACAGTACCAAGCATAGTGCCATGCTTCCTATTACACTGCTTGCACACGACACGACACAACCTGCTTCTGCTTGCATACGATTATATCCCGTGATGGCGTGATCCATGGCTAACCCCTCAATTCTAGGGTTTGTGCTTAATTGTGACAAAAACAAACAAAAAGGGTTGGTTTTTCTGATGCTGACTGTTTTGCTCTCTCTACGTGCGTGCAGATTGACAAGGCGTCGCTGCTGGCGAAGGCGGTGGAGAGGGTGCGGGAACTGAAGCAGCGGGCGGCAGGCGTCGGGGAGGCGGCGCCGGCGCACCTGTTCCCGACGGAGCACGACGAGATCGTGGTGCTCGCGTCCGGCAGCGGCGCCGTCTTCGAGGCCTCCGTCTGCTGCGACGACCGCTCCGACCTCCTCCCGGATCTCATCGAGACGCTGCGCGCGCTCCGCCTCCGCACGCTCCGCGCCGAGATGGCCACACTCGGCGGCCGCGTCCGCAACGTGCTCGTCCTGGCGCGCGACGTCGTCGACGGCGGTGTCGTCGCGGGAGGTGATGACGGCTACGGCGGTCGCGCTGCTGACTCGGCGGCCGCCACGGACGGCGGCGGTGGCGACTTCCTCAAGGAAGCCCTGAGGGCTCTGGTAGAGAGGCCAGGCAACGCCGGAGACCGGCCCAAGAGGCGACGGGTCTCGGGCATGAACATGCAAGCGGCAGCATAGCTAGTATTGAACGCCGGCGGCGCCGGGTTGATCACCTCTCGGTCGTAGCTCAAACACCTAATTGCATGCTCGTGCCAAATATATATATGGTACTACCTTCATCTCCATGTTTAGTTTTGTGTGCTAATATAATGTGTTGCTAAATGCATATATGTCTTCATCTCCAATCCTCATGCATGGCTCTTCTTCCTGAGATGCCATGCCATTAGGGAAAAAAAGTATATTCCTAGTATGGTATTGCTATTAGGGTTTGCTTGAGCTTGAACCAAATGCTGTTCCAAAGCCACTGCAAACCTACCTTTGAGCTAGAATAACAGAGAGTCAGGCAGCACAATGCAACAGACTTGTTACCCAACTAGTTTATATTGGAATTATAATAAGATTTCGAGTTTTTCTTTTTTCTCACTGACAAGCAAGTTCATCAACAAGAAGCAACATGTGGACATGTCCATTTTTGCATTCTGTATAAATATAGCATCTATCTATCCAATAAGATGATAAGAATGGCAAGAACTGTTCATCATTCTAGTTAGATGTTTGTACCAAATGCATACAAGCTCAGATAGCTTCATGCCTTGTAATACTATATAGTACTACTCTCGTGACTAGCTAGCTTGTGACTTGTGAGTGACTGGAACTTGGAGTGGATGATCTGGGAAATGCATGTCTGAATGGGGAAGATGGGAGGAGACAGGAACAGCCAATGATTGCTTGTGTGGTTGCAGAGCACACTGAGGCATGCATGCGGTGAGCTAGCTCTCATGCATGACACATGCATGAGTGCATGCATGCATGGAGACTTGCATGCTAATGCTAGGAGCGAGAGATGGATGATGTGGAGGACTTGTGTCTTGTGTGTATATGCTGCCACTGTGCGCATGTCTGGGGAAAGGGGGGTGACGGTGATGAGCTTTTGTTTCTTGTTGGTTTCCTTTTTCAAACCCTGCATTGCCTCGCGCGCATTGTTCCATTGCTTTTGGAGATGGAGGAGATCTCCATGTCAGGCTATGGAACTGTGCCGTGCTCCATGCCCTCTCATGCATATGGTCGTCGTCGTCGTCGTCGTCGTCGTCTTGCCTCTCTCGGAGGCAAAAGCAAAAGCCAGGATGGCACTTGGTGGGGACAAAAGAGGGTGTAACTGATCAGCTTTGAACAAGAGGGCACTGCTGTGACGTGCTTTCTGCCCACACTAGCTGGTTGCTGTGGCTTGCAATGGCAATTTTGGTTTCCTAGCTCTAGCTCCTTCACATGTCACATACTCACATGTGTGCATATCCATTGCTGCTTGGAGTAACACTCATAGAGACAAGATAATAATGTTATCAACTGATGATGAATCACTCCATAGAAGAGCGTGAGCAGATTGGAATATATGTATACCTGGCTTTCAATTTTTCAAATATAAATTGTGCTGAGAGATCTAGTATGTCATGTAAGCATATATGTGAAAATGTCTGTGACAAATTTCTCTACCAGTTAGAATTTTATTCTCAACATGCAATAATTTCGTTATTGTTTGGCTATATAAAAAAGTTGTGAAGTGTTTTTTATGAGTTTGTTATTTTAGTACTAGTTGATTGTGTAAGATTGATGCCTGGAATTTCCTAAAAATTCGGGCACCTGAAATATAGCAACTCTCATAAGTGGCATTGCTGGTGCATAGTAATGCATATGGATCTTCATGACTCATGACTTGAGGACACGTACTACAGCAGACACTCACAAGAAAATGTACAGAAGGCTGCTGCATCTGAATATATATAGTACCAGCATGTTGGTAGTTCCAATCTTTTCAGAGCAGAGTAGAGGGAGCACATGTTTCTACATCGAGATATTCTACTAGCGAGCAAAAAAGCCTGTACGACACTACTACATGAACTAACTACTGTCTGGGACCTAGGCATGGCAGAAGTTTTTCATGATTTGATCCTACCTCCCAACAGCGAAAGGAATGCATGCATGCTCACTTGCTCAGTGAATGTTATAATACAAATAAATAGCTAGTTTTGCTATAAAATAACAGCCGGATAAGTAAGGAAATTAAAATTAATAATTGTCTTGCATTTGCATGCAGATACGAGTCTATCTGTGAGTGACTTGCATTGTGTGGCAGTAGTACATGTTGCTGTCTGTGATCCGCCCCTATCTCTGACCATTTTTTGAGGAGCAGAAAGCGTTGGTTACGGTGCGTGCATCTTAAGATCTGGTGTATATTTGTCTCTAGTCCAATTGAAAGTATCCAAATTGTTGATGTGACTTACAACAAGTAGCTATATAGAGATAGCGAAATAGTCGTGCTGATATTTAGAGAGATAAAAGGCACTCTAGCTAGCTAGGGAGTAAGTGGTAACAGCATCATCATCATTTGGAGATATTTAGAGATATAAAAGGCCGGCACTTTTGCTAGGCAGCATCATTTGGAGTTTAAGTCAAATCTTTGCATTTGACTTAGTAACTAGCTTTACATGTAGCATGGCTATTGTTGACGAGTGATTGGTGCTAATTAACTCGCACCGTACCTAGCTATAAATTAAACAACAATAAGCTAGATATAGTTTATGTTGGATAAATGGCATCGTTATACTTGTATTGTAATTTGTAAACCAGCCCTGCTGATATGTTGAACGTGCAATCCGTGACCCTAACCATCAAAACGACATGAAAAAAGAAATGAGGATCACTTGAAAGAACAATACCATGCATTTGGTACTTAAGATGATGGTACATATACTAATTGAGTGAAATGCATCGTGGGTCCTTAAACACTTTTTCACATTCTCATATGGGTCTATGAACTCTTATTAAAATGATCATCTGGGTCCTTTAACTTTTGTAACTGTTCATTCTAGGTTCACTCTAGGACTAATCAAATGGACCTGAATTCGCTTAGAGCACCTCCAGTGTTGAATGAAATAGAACCGGGGGAAAGCAAAACCGAACCAAGGACATTGGAGCTATCGAACCGTCGTTGTCAGACTAGAAATCGGACTCCAAACTTGGTTCGACGCGAGCGCATAAACAACTACCAAAGATTCCTTTCATGCAGCACAGACTGCCAGTCTTGCATTGGAGGGAAAGCTAAGAAAGAGAGAAAATATATTTCTTTAATCGTTGTAAACCTATGCACACTGCAGCCACCGAACCATCATCAAAATGCAAACCGAGTGCTGCTGCCACGGTTCGAATGCTACGCTGGAGCTGCCCTTAGAATGAACAATTTAAAAAGCTTAAAGGACCTAGATGATTACATTAAGAGTCCGTGGATCTAGATGGAGATGCTGGGAAAGTTTAGAGATCCATGTTGCATTTTTAGTACGTATTCCCCCACATATATAGCAAGGAAAATAAAAAGGGTAGTAAAGGCCACACAAGTAGTTCCATACTATGATCTAGTACGTGCTAAGTATAGTCCCTACGTATTGTAGTGTGGTCTGAATTATAGCATGGGCATTTGATGGGTATTGGTCAGTCACTTGCTGCTTCAATTCCTTCTCCAACAGGGAACCCCCGTCCGCCTAGCCACTTCAAGTGTGTGTATATGCATGTATCAAACGCCTCTTGTCTAGGACTATTGGTACGTACAACCGATCAGAGATCCTGTCTGTTTGTGGCATGCTCTCCAGCCCTTTATTTGCTACGTACGACATCTCTAGCTTGGCCCTGGCGATCGACGATATGATCGGGCTTGCTTATTAGGCACGTACAGTACGTACTTGTCACTGCACACTCCCCAGTATGAAACCAAGTGACGACTACTACACTGACTGTGTGTTGTGTGGTCATATATATTGTTGTCGTCACTGCTATATGCAGGGACCATACAGCATACGTACGGTACTTGAGAGGAGAGGAGTTGAGGTAACCATGCACACCAAACAAGCAACGAATTGAGACTAACAGCACTTTGAACTTGCAAACAATCCCTTTGATTTTTTTTCACAAACATGCACATTGCACGTATTTCATTAAGAGGGTAGAAAGTTTTACAAGGGGTTTCCAAGGTCGAGCGAGGTGCCCTTCCTTGTACACCCCAACACACACAGAGAGAGGAGATACACAGCTCGTTAGTTTTTTTTGTGTTGGACTACACAATCCCTTTGATGGCAAGCATGCACATTGCATGCATGTGAAGCTAGCTACTCCCTCTGTTATATAGTGCATTCTAGGAATTTTAAAACAAATTAAGAGAGAACATAAAAGACACATGTACCTTCATTTTATTTCCTAATCAAACGCTACCATCAACATGACTAATGGTGATTGGTCGATAAATGGAAAGTATTTAATATAAAATTGGTTTTTGTCTTTAGAATGTATTATATTTAAGAACAAATTTTGAATGCTAGAATGCACTGTATTACGGGACGGAGGGAGTAACTCTTAGCAAATGCATGGCATGGTGCGTTCGGTCTGGATTGGTAAGAATATATGCAAGCATGCAAAGGCCAGGAGGGATGATCATATCGATGGAGGAACCGGTCGGCCAGCATGCATGCAACTCCCAGGATTATCTTAAATCAAATTATTTTGAGTTTGGCCATCTTTATATAGTGGATAATACTAATATTTATGACACCAAATAAATAACTTATGAAAATATATTTTAGGTGGTATCTAGAGATAATAATTTGTAAGTTGTAACAGATATTGGTACCCGTTTCTACTTCTGCCATTTCAAATCGTAAGTCATTGAGAATTTAAGTTTTCTATATACATAACTTTTACTATTATATGTGTATCTAAACATTATATATATATATATATATATATATATATATATATATAATATGTGCATAGTAAAAACTATGTATTTAGAAAAGCTTGAATAACCTATTACAATTTGGAATGAGGGATCTAATATAGATTTAGTTAAATCTAATTAAAATAATTTGACTTAGAATATAACTCTAAAAGTTGATTTGTTTTTTAGAGGGAGCAGATAGATGGTTGGGCGGCCGCGTAGGTACAAAGGAAGCGTGCGGGGGAGGAGATGGAGTGGA